AAAAAAAAGAAATGTAGCAAAGCAAAATAAAAATAAACTGATAAAATTTCTTCTGAATTTTCTCATTGCTCTTGAAATTGGTTATGAATTTTTGTGAAAATCAATCGATATTTTTTTCACGATGAACACCAGGAAATTATCATATCTGAATTATACAAAATTGCTTTTTTTTTGGCCAGCTACAACAGCAACAACAGAAATTACATTGTATCATTGAAACATTTTGTTTGTTTGTTTGTTTAAAATCGATAAGAAAAAATAGCGAAAAAAAATTCATTATCGATTCGAAAAAAAGTTTTTCTTCTTTAAAAATTTCGCATAGTTTAATCGCATTTCACATCTCTCTCTCTCTCTCTCTTTTTAATGAGAGAAAATAAAATTGCGAATTCCCTAAAATAAATTTCTTTGAAAAAAAATCATCATTATTTAGAATCGATTATCGATATAGTTTATTGCCTAAATATTATTATTGTTAATGATGATGATGAAATCTATCAATTGTCAATCAATCAATCAATCAATCGATAAAGTATCGATATAAATAATAGATTAAAATTGTCATGTCCCATTGTCATCATTATCATTATTGTTGGGGAATTTCTATTCTTTTCAATCAAAATTGCTACTAAAAATTGACTTTTCTCTTTCTCTCTCTCTCTCTCTCTCTCTCTCTCTCTCTCTGATAATCATTAGCTCGAATAAAAAAAAGTTAAAATATTGAAATTCAAGAAAAAAATCATCATCATTATTCTGTCTGATGATTATTTTCAAAAAAAGATAATTTGTTATCATGTTGTTTATTAATTGAATCTTTGAATTAATCCTGTTTTCTTTTTCTTCTTCTTCTTATTGTTCAATGAGGACAATGTCTTTTCACGTTTTTCTTCTTGATTATCCAATAAATCCGTTCATATATTATTATTATTAAACATGAGTTTTACATCCATCTAAACAACATCACTGGCCGCATCTTTTAATTTTTTCTTTTGTGAATAACAATGATAATCATATTATCCAATTTATCGATTTAAATCGATCATTTTTTTTTGTTCATTTGAATTCAAAAAAATCGGTTTTTTTTCTGTCTGAATCTTACTGAGAATCCGGTAACAATCAATTTATCCGGGTTATTCAGGATTTTAAGCTTATCATCATCATTGCTTTGTGTTTTTTTTTTGAAAAAAATGATGCAAATCAACATAACAGCAGCCTTTACTTCACCTTTTCTTTTCTCCAAATGCTTTTTTTAAATAAAATTTTTTCTAAAATTAAGAAAAAACAAAATTCTTCAATCAATTTTTGATTGATTTCTTTTTTTCATTTTTTGATTCTCAATAGACAAACACACAGACAAAGAAATCATCAAAGAATTGAAAAATTTTTCAACAATAACCATTGGAAAATGTTGTCAAACAACAAAAAACGTTCATGTTTTTTTGTAACACAAGGGGAGATAAAGAGATGAAGAAATCAGAACAAAAACCCAAGCATACGAACAGCCATTTATATATATTTTTTTGGCCTGCTGTTACTAACGAAATCAATGTTGTTGTTGTTGTTGTTGGCTAGTTTGTGGTGGTTGGTAAAAATGAATAGTGGGACAATGATGAGATGGGGGGGAAAAAAAAAGACAACCATAGATCTATTTATATGTGTGTTGAGAGAGAGAGAACAAAATTTCTAGACAAATCATAGGTCATAGGTTTTTTTAAAGAATTTTTGATTTTTTTCTTTAACAGAATCATACTCCAGAGAAGGTAAATGTCAAAACAATTTACATTGAATTTTTTGTTTGTTCCAGAAACAATATTATCTATTAATTAACATTATTAAGTGTAAATAAAAATTCATTTTAAATGAAACATTTTTCATGATGAATGAAAATGATGGACATCATCCATTACCGTTATGTTTTTCTTTCACTGATTTTCATTCAATGACAATCAAAACAAAGCACACTCAAATACAATGACAACCTTGAACCTATTTTTTTCCCCAGAAAATGGTTCTGACCAAACCAAAACCAAAACGAAAACCAAAAACTACTACATTTCCAAATTTAGTAAATGGTAATGTGTGTGTGGTTGATTGGTATATTTTTCTGCCTTGTTTCATGATGATGATGATGATGATGATGAGGATCCATCCATTTCGATATCCGTTATAGTCATTTTATTGATCGATTGTGATCGATCGGTAAAAGTATCCACCCATTTCCTTCTTTTTTTTCCCCGTTTCCATTCAAACCAAAATTTTACCTTCCCCCTTTTTTCCCAAAAAAACCAGATAAAATTAATATATTTCGAACAACAAGAATCATTCAATTTTTTCTCCCAATTCAATTCACTCACACTTATAATTTAGATATTTTGTTTTTATTCATTTCTTTTCTATTCTTTTCTATGTTGAAACAAATTAATTTTATTTAATTTTCATCATCACCATTATTATTGATTCAATGATTCAATGATATTATAAAAGGGAACAAAAAGCAACCAAAAATGAAAACAAAACAAAGAAAAAAGAAAATCCATTGTTATATTGAATATACAATATTGTTCCGTTTGTCGTTTCATCATTAAGTGCAAAGAAGAGGATGGAAACACAAAAAGAAAGAAAAAAGGATGAGGATCACACCAAATGCATTCAAAATATTAGGAAAAAAACAACCGTCATTTTCAACATCATCAACATCATCATCATCATCATCAAAAAAGATGTGCCATGTGTTGTTGTAGTCGAATTGAAAAGAATTGAGAACAGACAGCCTAAAATTCATCAACCATCACCAATGAAAACACTGGGCTGTAACATAAATATAAACCACTACTATCGATAAAATCATTGTTACTATGGGACTTGTGATTGGTTGAAAAAACCAAAATGTAGTAGCAGTTTTTTTTATTCTAAATTATCCTGTTACTAAGCGTTCTCTTTCTCTGTTTCAATTTCCAATCAGCTGAGTTTTTGGGATTTTTTTTCCGTCAATAGAATATTTTTTCAAACATAAATATATGCTACTACCGCTATATACATCTATGTCGTCTGATTTTTTTCTCTCTTTCTCTCTCTCTTTTTGTCTGCTATATTTCATCATTTTTATTTCGAACACAATTTCGGGGTTTGGTTCTTTTATTCGTTTTTCGGATTTGGCAAAATTGTATATATTTTTGTTGTTGTTGTTGCTTATCTTGTTCTTTGTTCTTGTTATGTGATTTTTTTTTTGATGAAAAATTTTCAAACATCGTAACTCAGTATCTTTGTGTTCAATATACAAACTTGAATTTTGAATTCGTCTGTTTTTTTTTTCATTTTGAAAAACCCCCCTTGTATCACACATCATTACATCACCGCACTCATCACCATCAACAAAATTCTGCAATTCTTTCAACCAACCACTAAACCTAGTCATTACCTTTGCTTCTACTTTATGAATATCATCTATATATATATGTTTTACTCTGAAACATCATCTTTAAAATCATTTCTTCATTCTTGTTTCTCTTGATTTGACTTCTTTTTTTTCTTCTTCTTCCAAACACCACCACCATTCTCTACATCGAAAATCTTCAATGAGTCTTTTTTTCTCTTCTTCTTTTTTTTTGATTTGTTGTTGGTGGATTCATCTTCTTCTTGTTCTTTAAGAAAGACAAAATCATATCCACAATCAAGGCTGAATCCTGTTTTTTTTTCATCGATGATAATGATGATCATTCTCATATTATGATCATTCATTAGTCATTCAAGTCATCATCAACGTCAAAATCAGTACTGCTGTGTTTTTTTTTTAAATTCTTTTTGTTTTTGTTGTTGTTGATTTTTATTTTTCTCTAGTGAATCTCACTACACACACAAGATATATAAATTTGTCACAATTTTTTTTTTGTTGATTTGAATTTTTTTTCTTTCTTCTAAATAATAATTTCATTTTTTTCAAACCATAAAATTCATTGTAAAATCAATCGATGATTATGATACACATGAAAAATTGATTGATTCCCCCCTCTCCAAAACAAAACAAAAAAAAATATTGAAAACAAAGTGATTATTGATTCTCAATGTTATAAGATTATTTTCTATATTTGTTAAATGTTTTTTTTTCTTTTGCATTCATTTTATTTCTTTTTGTTTGTTAATTTCGTTTCAATTTGAGAATGCCAATTTTGTAATAAATACACATACAACCGAACACAATTTCATTGAAAAATCGATGAAAATTTTATAAATTCTATTCTTTTTTAGCCCTCTGTATGTCACATTTTGGTATGTTGTAACGGTTTTTGTTTTTTGGTCATCACCATTAACAATCAAACATCATCATGATTTATTCGTGAATTGTATTAACAACATATCTTTCTTACACACCCACACACACACACACACACTAATACACAAATTTTTAATGTTTTGGCTATGTTCATTGACAATATAGAATACATTTGAAAGATTTGAACAACATAAACTAAAAAAAAACATTAACAAAAATCCAACCAGGTCGTCGATCTCATTTCAATTCAACAAATAAACAAAAAAAAACAAAATCAAATCAAAATAAAGTATTAATGATAACAATAACAAAACAGACATACACACACACAGGAATTGAATTTTCTTTTTCAAACTCAGGAATTTAACACTTTTTTTTTGTCCGGTTCATTCGCAGAACGTATCCCCTCTTTCATTTTCCTCAAAATCAAATACAATTAACAAATGACAATCAATACACAAACAGACGACAAAACGCCCACACATATACCATATCGAAGTTTTCTTTTCTTTTTTTTTTAAAAAAAAATCTTCTGTTTAATTGATTTTTTGTTTTTGTTTCGTAATTTTTTTTTCACACTGATTAATTAACATTGTAATAATTTTTTTGTTTGTTTGTCAAGTTTTTTTTTAAAAAATTTTATAAATGAAGAACATGACCATATTATCATCATTTATAATATCAGAATCGAATGATCAAATTTCATCATTATCAACAAAAAAAACAACAATAAATGATGAAAAAAAGTTTTGTTATCAATCTAAATCGACAACAACAACAACAACAACAACGGCAACAAAACAACAGCCATCATCATCATCATCATTGAAAACATCCATTACTAGTGATATTATTAATAACGATACTAGTAATATTAGTAATAACTGTGTTAAAAGTGTTAATAATAGTGATAATAATCATCTTACTATTAATATTCCATCATTATTATTATCAACAACAACAACAACAACATCATCATCATCTTCGGCTTCGGCCTTTTGGTCTGATCATTTAAATACAATGACATCGATAGCTTGTAATCAAAGAATGATATCATCATCATCATCATCATTATTATTCGATACGAATAATGTTAATCGTATTGGCCATAAATCATCATCATCAACAACATCATCATCTTCGGCATCGACTACATCATCGAATGATGATGATGATGATGTTAATCTTTTATTGAATAATAATGATATATCATCATTAATATCATCAACAATACAGATGCCACCGATAGCATATATGAATGGTAATAATGTACGTCCAATACGACGACGACATTTTTCACAACAACAAACCGGTGGTATTGGATATGTTAATAACGGTAATAATAATAATAATAATAGTAATAATATTAAACATCAACATCATTCAAATGTTATTGATTCAAATATATTGATAAAAAATAATAAAAATATCGATTTGGATAACAATGTTTATGAATGGAATAAAAACCGGAACAATTCGAATAAAATATTGGCTAATAATGTAACTGAAAATAATGCTACTACTAATAATTCAACAACCACTACTACTAATATTACTGATAATAAAGTAACGAAAAAAACTGGTAAGTTTTTCTCTTTCTTCTTTTTTTCTTTTTTTTTTATCTGTATCTCATTACTACCCTAATTCATGAATTTTCAGATGAAAAACAAAAATTTTAAATAACCTAACTTTGAAAAGTTTGAGAATAATCATGATTCGTCATAGAATATGGATAGTGTATGAGAGAAAGAGAGAGAGAGAGAAATAGACCCGTTTCTTTTTTCTTTGACAAATAATTTGCATCAATTCATATCATCATCGTCGTGGCTCAAGGTTAAATGATAGTGATAAAGAGAGAATGATTTTTTTTTCATTTATATGAAAAAAACCATTTTTTTCTACCTGGATGATAATGATGAAATCAATCTTGATTGTCCAGTAGTAAAAGTAGGGTTTTAACTATACTATTATATATGTTATTTATTTATTTTTTCATATTTCATATTCACAAATAAACACCATGAAAAATACACACACACACACAACCATCATCATTGAAATATATTGAAGGCAAACTTGATTCAACAATATTTTCAATGATTATTCTCAACAACAACATCATCATCATCATAAGATGATCTTTTATAAATATCATCATCATCATCATTATTATTTATACTTGCATACACATAGTAAAACTAAACACAAACATCTTAATGCATCCATTTACCCAAAAAAAAAAAAAAATAAAATATATAAAAAAAGAAAAGAATAGGATATAATCATTATCACAGTGCAAAAGCACTGAATTTTTTTTTATTTTTTGGTTTGATTTTCATTTCCCCATTTTATTTCTCTTGCTGTTTGTTTCAAATGTTTGTTCATTTGATTTTTTTTCCTATTTCTTCGATTCAGTTTTTGTTTTCTTCTTTAGTGATGATGCTGGTGGTGGTTAAGTGCAACTTTTTTTTCTTCTTTCTCTCTCCCTCTCTCTCTCTCTAACTCATTTATCAGTTTTTGTTTCCATGAATTCATGATGCAATGATGATGATGATGATGAAAATCAAATACATATTGCTTATGTTTGTGTGGGTTTCTTCATATATATCTTTCATATTAATCTTGCTTGTTCTCGCACTCTCTTCGATATTTCAAGCTAATTATTCATGTTAATTATTAATGTGATTATTTTGAATTAACAAGAAAAAGAAAAAGAAAAAAAATCCCCTTTTTCCTTTTGTTTTTTGTTTTGTGTTTGATATAAAAAATACAGTACACAATGGAAGCCTAACCTTATGTTTATGCAATACAGATACACACACACCCTTTGTTTTTTTTCCCATTTCAACATAAATCCTGTTTCCACCCACCTAATAATACTTTTTTTTTGTTTGTTGAAAGAATCATTTTTTGTTTTTGTTTTGTTTTTGTTTAAAATGAATATTACGCGTGTTCCCTCATTGAAATTTTTTTGACACAAACTTGAGCAAACAAATTCTGGAAAATATCTTGAAAAAAATGAAATGAAATGAAATTTGTTTTTTTGTTTTTTCTTGGAAATTTAATTCTTTCGTTGCTTGTCAAATATCAAAAACAAAATACATTTTCTGTTTTTTTCAGTGAAAAAAGAGAGGGAAAAAAATTCATTTTAGAATAAATTCTGGCCATCAAAAACATCAATGTACTAAATAATTTATATATACGCTAATGGTAAGCGCTTGAGTTAGAGAAAACAAAAATCCTTCATCATACAATCAAAAAAAATGAAATGAAAAATCTTGAAATGAAACAAAACAAAAAACAAACAAAAAAACAGTTTCTCGATCAATGAACTAAATAAATGATGATTGCCATATTGGCGTCATCATCATCATCATCATCATTACCATTGCCATTGCCATTACCATAACCATCACATACATATAATAGTCGTCATCTGTAACAAAGATGTTGTCAATGTTTGTATATGAATGAATTTAAAAACAAAAAAAATGCATCAAACAGTAATTCTGTCCATCATTATTTCAATAATTCAGTAATATAAAATATTGATGAAATTATGACAGCAGCTCCAATGTAAAAGTATTTAAAAAAACAATTAATAATGTACATTCTGGTAATTAAAAGAAATCGAAGCCCAATCCCTTTGTTATAAGATGTATTTTTTTAGTTTTCAAAATCGATGTTCAATAAGTCAAATAACCGGCTTATGGATCGAAATTATGTATAATGAAAAAAAATGATTGTTTATCAACAAGTGTTGAAAATTATTCGACAACAATCATTGGTTATATTAATTAATTTTATTTGTAAATTGTAATTTTTTAAAATTGATTTTATTTGTAAGTTTGTTATTGTTATATTTTACTATAAATTTATGATTAGTTTAACTTAGATATTCAGTTACATATAACTCTCCGAATTTTATAGAAGCAACCGACCGACCACACAATTGTCGAATCTGTAATATAAAAGTTGATAAAGTTTATTCTAAATTTAAATTTAATTATAATTTTCACCCATAATTTTTTGTTGATTATCAAGAGTTATATAAATATGTGTAGGATGTTTTTTTCTATTGTTATTCATTTATATTCTTCTTGTTTTTTGTTTGTTTGATATAATTGACTAATGAATATTTTTCTTTTTTCTTTACAAAACTAGATTTCGGTAACTATTATGTAGATGATGATGATGATGATTTATCAATGAAAACAATGTCAACAACAACAACATCATCACCGTCGTCGTTGTCGTCGTCGTCGTCATCACCATCATCGATATCATCATCGCCATGTAATTATTTTGTTGATGAACATCATCAAAAAACTGCTGCAATTAAAAGCTATTTGGCTGAAGGTATTGAAAATATATTACGTATGGCCAAAGAAACAAGACTAGTTCATTGTACAGAGATATTAATACCACATAATTTAATTAAAAAAATTGCTTCAAAAGTGATGAATATTGCCGAATGTGAACCATGTGGTCTACGTGGTTGTCTTCTAATGATCTTTTTGGAAAATGATAATGTGAATTGTTGCCGTCCAAATATACAGAATCAACAATCGAATCAATTAAATTATATGAAGAAATTTGATGAAATAAATTCACCAAACAAAAAATTATTGGGTGAAATTGATGTGGATTCAGATATTGTACCAACATTTGAAGTCTTTCTTACACTTAAACGTGTACAACCATCATGGCTAGATTCATTGGAATATCGTTTCCTACGAAAACGGCCAATAATTTTATCAGAAATCTACCTCTTGAACAAGAATAAACTTTATCAATCATCATCCAAATGAAGAAAAAAACAAAAACAAAAACCAAAAAAAAAATTCAAGATTATTTTCCTTTTTCCTTTCTTTCTATATTACCCCCCCCCCCGAAATTTTTCTACAAATAGAAAAATTCCTTAATTTAATTTGCAATTTGCAGCTAATAACACATAACCCTTTCAACGTTTTTAATTACACTTTTACATTGATTAAAAATTTAACTATAAAAAATTTTTAAAAAAACCAAACAAAAAAGTATAGATTATTAATATAAAATACACAAATATATATTTAGTTACAGATTTACTGAAATAATTTTATAACAAACAAACAATCAAATAATTGACCCCATCCAGGTATAGTTTTAGAAAAAAAAGTGATTGATTTATTGATTGATGAACTTGGAAATTAATTTCAGTTCCTGAATACTATTTGATCATCATCATCTTAATAATAATTTTGTTGAACTAAACAAAAAACACACCAAGTGTGAATTTCTTCTAATTCGTTTTTTTTCTCTGGTTAGGGTTAAAATTCTAGTTTATTTTTTAAAATTTATAAATTTCAAAATTAAAAAAAGAAAGAAAATTTTTAATAGAAAATCTTAATTATTAAATTACACAGTCACAAAAATTATATTTGCTAAACATTCAAACACACAAAAACAAACATTTCAATGATAAAACACATTATCAACTACTAATCATTTGATCTGATCTTCATTCTTGATTTATCTCATTGTTTTTTCTTCTTCTCTTTCTTTCAACAAATTAAATGATCTTCATTATTTCACAAACAAAAAACATTGTTATGAACACACATTGACAAACACATCATTAATGATCATTGTTGTCAAACATCAAAATAATCATTGATTACCTGATTGTGAAACAATAATTCTTGATTGAAAAAAAAATCTGAATATTAAATTAGTCAATTAAATGATATATAACCACTTGCGATAAATGATATAATATTACACATTGACACACACACACACACAAACATATAATAAATGTTTTGTTATTTTACATATATTGCCGCATCGATAATCTTCCATCTGATAATTGAAAAAAAAACCAGGAAAAAATAATATTGTATTTGTGCTAATATACGGTGTGTGTGCGCGCTCGTATTAGATCATCATTTTATCATCAGAAAAATGTGATTTGATTTTCCTTTGTCGATGATACTTTTTTTTTGTTTTTTGTTTTGTGGATCTAAATCTCAAATGTGATTTGTCAAACATTTTAAAAAATATTTTAGAAACAAAACCATTAACAATTAACAAAACCAAAAAACACTAAATTACATTTTTAAAAATATTTTGTTTCTCATTCTTCTTTTTCCCCTCTTTTTTTTTGTTTCTTCCTTTTTGAATTAATGATGATGATAATTATATTAAAAATAAACGAATATTGATCAACACAAAAAAAAAATGTTTTTAATTTGATTGAAAAGTTTTTTTTAAAAAAAACAAGCAAAGATTTTTGCTTTAAAATTATATAATTTTTTTGAAACAATGCTGCCATCTGTTTGTCGATATAGTGAACAATTTATTGAATAATTCATCAATCACAAGATGGTAGCAGTAACATTGTTAAGTTTTTTTTTTAAATTTAAATTAAATTCTGTAATTTATTATGAATAACAACAACAATTTTTTGTTGTTGTTGTTGTTGTGAATATTTGATGGTCAAAAAAATGGTACTTTTAAATGTCAATTTTAGTTTATATCCAAACAAACACATTAGCAGTTTATTTTTTTTTCTTCTTCTTCTTCTTCAATACTAATTTAATGTAATGTAATGAAAAGCAAAACAAAAAATAAATCATTACATCGTTGATTAACATTGGTTTATCAATTGTGGTTATCAATTTGTTGATTTTATTTTTGTTTTTAATGTCCAGAGGATACAATACGAAAAATAAACCGAACAAAACAACAAAATCTATTGATTCATTAGGATCACGACCCCCTTTTTTTCAACTTAATTTTGGTCACTATAGTACACTATGTTGGATGGTATCCGTCCGGGATACAAAATTCCAATTTTTTTTCTGGTTCTCATTTACAGTGAATTAGGATTTTTTTTCCTAAATTTACACTCTCTCTCTCTCTCTCCCTCTCACTCACTCCTATGTGTGTGTGTTTATATATAGCAAATGAAATAAATGTGTGATAGTGAAAAAACCGCTTTTCAAGAAAAATAAAAACCGACAACGATGATGATGTGGCCAGTTTTTTTTAATGGAAAGCATCCTTGATCATCCTTGATTGGCTATTGGATCGAATCGGATTGTTGTTGTCACTGTTGTCATTTTAATCATGATGATGATGGATGTTGAAATTGTTTGAATCAATTTTAATTCCTAGTTTTTTTGTTCTTTCTTCAAACTTTCGCTTTCATTCACATTCGTTTGTCATTATAATTAAAAGATAATTTTTTTTTTAATATAAAGAATTGTGTGTGTGTTCCATGAATTCCAATTTGTTTTTTCGTTCGTTTGTTTGTATTGTGCGTGCGTGCGTGTGTGTGTGTCAGTGTTTGTAATTGAAAAACTGTATATAAATTTTCAATTTTCCAAAAAAATAAAATAATTAATGAATAAATAAATAATAAATATATGTGTAAATGACAATCACAATGATTTTTTACAAAAAATAATAATTGAAAAATAATTTCAACAATGGTATAACAACGTTGTCATTGTCATAAAATTTTCATACAATTTTTTTTTTCAAAAAAACCCAACAAAAATCAATAATTTACATTCATTCAGTGACATACACACATACACACACGCACTCAAACATAACGAATCCGTTGGATATCATAATAAAAACAGTAAAATGAAAAACAAATTTCTCTCATCATCCTTATCCAAATGTATATCATAGCATCATAGCCACTAGCACTATAGTGTGTAAATGAAAACCAACAAAAATTTTTATATTTCCGTTAACAAGAAGGAAGAAAAATTACAAGTAAAAAAATAAATAAATAAATAGTCTCTGTTTGTTCACGATGTTCATTTCCTAATTTTTTTTTCTGTGGTAGATATCACTGGAAAAAAAATAAGATTCAATAGATATTCTATAATAAAGTTTATTTCCTTAGTTATTTTCCAGTATATTAGTGTTGTGTATTGTTGTATAATGATGATAATAATAACCCAAAGAATTATGTAATGAAACGATACAAAAGCTGTTACCATTTTTTTGCTACGTAAATTTTCCCTCGTATATTTGTCATTCGTTTTTTTTGATAATTTTTTGTTTCTTATTCTTTTTAGTTAGCTGTTGTAGTAGGATGTATGTTTTTTTGGTCAGATTAAATTTGTTATCAACAATGTTATAAGATTGAGATTGATTATCCCATAAAGTTAAAGTGTATTTTTGTTATTACACATGTTTGTTTGTTTGTTTGTTTGTTTCAAGATTACAAATTTATCAAACTCTATTATTATTTGATTTCTGTATAGTGTGTTCTGATATTGTAATTTTCGGTGCAATGATTTTGAGATTGTAAGAAGTTTTACAGTTTGTTTCTTATGGTTTTTTTTTTGTGAATATGTGTAAGTGTGCACACGATATAGATATTTTTATCAAAAGTTTCTTTGGAATTTTCGAGTTTTTTTTCAATTTATCATTTTATTCGTTTAAGAAATTCGGTCGTATTCTCAATTATCCATAAAGTATGTGTGGGCAGTAGAATAGAAATCGAAATGAAAAATCAACAGTCGAAACTGGAAAAAAGCGAAAGAACGAAAATGAAAATCGTTAACATGTGTGTGTAATATGGATCACATTGAGAATATAATCGAGTGCAACAATAAAAGAAAATCCTTTCTTTCTTTCTTTTTTGGCCCAAGAGAGAGAGTGATTTATATATCGTTGTCCTTGTTATGGTTTCATTTAAAGTTTATTTTTTCTTCAAATAAATGATTAATTTGATGTAATAGAATATAAAACGAAAAGAAAATTAAGATTTTTTTTTGTTGTTGTTGCTTGTTGTTGGCTTGTAATTTGTGTTGTTATTATTATTTTTTTCCTTTTCCGATTCATTTATAATTACTGGATATAACTTGATTACTGATGTACGTTACTGTAAAGTGGATTCTTGTTTTCATCACCAAGAAAAAAAAATAATTGAAAAAAAGCTAAAATAGATTTGGGTACTTTTTTCCAAAATGAAAGATTTAACCATGTAAGAAAAAAATCATGTCAAAAACAACAACAACAACAACAAAATACCATTATCTCGTCTTCTTGTTGTTGTTGTTGAAGAAACTTATTAAAGATTTTTAATTTGAAAATTTTTATTATTACCAAAAATTCCTTCTTAAATACACAATTTTGAATATGTCAGATGAAAAAAAGAAAAACAAACCAAATATTTTTTGATTGAATTTTCTTTTGAAATTCTGTTNTTCTCAATTATCCATAAAGTATGTGTGGGCAGTAGAATAGAAATCGAAATGAAAAATCAACAGTCGAAACTGGAAAAAAGCGAAAGAACGAAAATGAAAATCGTTAACATGTGTGTGTAATATGGATCACATTGAGAGAATAATCAAGTGCAACAAGAAAAGAAAATCCTTTCTTTCTTTTTTGGCCCAAGAGAGATTGATTTATATATCGTTGTCCTTGTTATGGTTTCATTTAAAGTTTATTTTTCTTCAATAAATGATTAATTTGATGTAATAGAATAGAAAACGAAAAGAAAATTAAGATTTTTTTTTGTTGTTGTTGCTTGTTTGGTTTGTAAATTGTGTTATTATTATTATTATTTTTTTTTCCTTTTCCGATTCATTTATAATTACTGGATATAACTTGATTACCGATGTACGTTACTGGTATAGTGGATTCTTGTTTTCATCACCAAAAAAAAAATAATCGAAAAAAAAGCTAAAATAGATTAGGTACTTTTTTCAAAATGAATGATTTAACCATGTAAGAAAAAAAAATCATGTCAAAAGCAACAACAACAACAACAACAAAAACCATTATCTCGTCTTATCCGATGTTGTTGTTAAAAAAAAAACTTATTAAAGATTTTTAATTTGAAAATTTTTATTATCAAAAAAAATTCCTTCTTAAATACACAATTTTGAATATGTCAGATGAAAAAAAGAAAAACAAACCAAATATTTTTTGATTGAATTTTCTTTTGAAATTCTGTTATTTTTTTTCTGAAAACAAATTTTTCAATCAAAATGATAAAAAAAAATTGTATAAAAATAACAAAATGATTGGCTTTTTTATTTTTGTTTATTCAGCTTTTTTATTTTTGTAAAAAAAATAATAGCCAAAATGTAATTTTGTGAACAAGATTTTGTTTCGTAAAAATTTATTACAAATAATAATGATGAAAAGAAAAACAAATTGAAAATCAAAACTTATTCTTCATCATTTTTCTGGCCAAAATTTTTCTTGAAAACCAGTTTTTCCCCCCATTATTAATTTTTTTGAAAAATAAACCGAAATGGAACAATTTCTTTGATTTTGTATATTCCGGATATGTTTAGCAATTGGAAAAAAAGAAAATATTTCTATTTCTTTCTAAGATGGATAGGTAGAAATATAGGGAGAACAACAAAAATATATATTGTCCATAAATTAATTAGATTGTATTTTCTTTTTTTTTGAAAAGTATTTTATATTTATTTGTTTGTGTTATCATCCATATATCACGTTTTGTTATTCAGATCAAAAAATTCTTTTCTTTTTTTTGTAACAGATCTAACAATGAAAGATGACATAAGAATGAAAAAAAATTTCCCATGTGTGTGTTTTTCATAATAATGTTTGTTTTGTCTCACTCCTTCACAATCTCTCTCTCTCTCTCTTTATGTTATCATCAGGTAAAATAAGGCAAAATTCTGGTGAACATCTTTTTGTTTTGTATATTTCATAATAAAGACATGGAGAGATTTTTTTGTTTTGTTTTTTTTTTGCGCATTACATTTTCAATGTAAAGAATATGTATATATTTAATATGAATGAAAAGTGTGTTTATAAATGAATATTTATAAACAAAATAAAAACAAAATAATAAGACAATTATAAATCATCATCATCATCATCATCGCATATATGAATCATTGTCTAACTGGATGAATTTTGTCACACACAAAAGAATGTTTGAAATATGATGACTTCAATAAGAATTTATGTAAATGAGAAAGGTTTGTTTGGTTCTCTGTCTGTCTATCTTTTGTGTGTTTACACCCACGTGAAAGACAAAACAAAACAAAACAAAACAAAAACTGAATGAATGAAAACAAAAGAATCTTGATATTTTTTGCTTCTTCTCTCGCTTGATTGAATGAAATGAAAAACAAAATAAGAATAATAATATTTTGCCACATTTTGAATAGAAAGTGAATATAAAGTGTTTAATATTTAAATTTGTTTGAATCTAATTTCTATTCTGTGTATCAGTGGTGTGAAAAGGAAAGAATTTTATCATTTTTTGTTTTCCATGTAATTCTTTTGTTATCTATTTTTGTATCTTTTTTTTTGTTGTTGTTGAGGGGAGGGAATGAAACATTTCACAATTTTTTGTTTTGTTTTGTTGCCTTTTTTTTCAAACAATCAGAATATCTATCATCATCATCATCATCATCATCGTGATTTGAAGCAATTTTTTTTCAATTATTCATAAACTTTTTCTAGAAGTGTTTGGGTAATTTATCAAAGTCTTCTTCTACCTTTTTCAAATGATGTAAAATGATTTATATTATTAATATTATTTTTTATAACCAAAAAAAAATCTATGGATAAATAATTTATTGATAATAGAATCTTTTTGTTTTATTTGATACAGGGACATGCGAAAAATTGAGAAAATTCTCGAATGAGTAATACAAATGTCCGATTTGGCGAATGGATGGATTAATTGCAACATTGTTGATAACAAACAAGTTTTTCTGGAAATCTTAGTGTGAAAAAATATAAATTTTATTTTCATAATTTTTATTTTATTTTTTTTTAATAAATTAATTTTTACAATGATAAAAATAAATAAAGATAAATAAATAGATTTTTCTTTTCTTTTAAATGTTTATATATTACAATATTTATCACTCACTCATTCTCTCAATAACAAAATTTTCATCTATTCAATTTACAATTCGATTCGATTCTGGGTCAATTCATTTTATCAGGATGTGATTGTATTTCGGTTCTTTCGTCTGTTTGTTTACTTGTTTGAATTTTCCATTTGAATTATTATTGCATTATTTGATGATGAATAAATAATTTTCCTGTTTTTTTTGTACTCTCTTCACACAATTATAATAATGATATTCGTTGTTTGTTATGGTGATTAATATTACTATTATTATCATGTTTATCATTCGATTTAATTGAGAAATTTTTTTTCATTATACATTTCTGTTGAATTTGAATTGAATTGTTATGATGATGATTTATTAGATTTTCATTGTTGTTGACATTATCGTCATCGACATTGGAATGAATATTGGAATTTAATATTGATAATGTTATTGGTAATAAGGATGTTTCATTTATTGAACATTCATCGTCATCATCATTATCATCATCATCAATTGATTCCTGATTTGGTGATATATTTACTGTACGAAGACTTATTGTATCGGTTGATGATAATGGTCGTTGATATGATTTACATTTTAGTTGATTTTTTTGTTGTTGTTTGTTGACATGTTGATCAATAGAAATGGTCACCATCATTTCACTTTCACAATTATCATCATCATCATCATCATCGTGAATATCATCATCATAATTTTCTGAATCATCATTATTTGAATAATAATTATTATTATCATTAAAATGATTACCAATGATTGTTGTTTGTTGTTGTTGTTGTTGACAAATATTAATCAAAGAATTATTATTATTATTATTATTATTATGTAAATAGTTATTCGGTTTTTGTTGTTGTTGTTGTTGTTGTTGATTTTGATGTTGATGATAACCAATAACAGCTGGTAATGTCATTGTTGCTGAAACTGAACCAGTTGATGGTGTACTTGTACCAATATTACGTTCAAATTTACGATTAGTAAATAGAAAAAAACATAATGTTAAAAATAAACGTTGATGACGAGCAATAATTTGTTTAGAACGTTTACGAAAATCTTCATTCATAAAACAATATATAAATGAATTATAACAAACGGATGTCATTGCCCAAATATGTAATGCTAGAAATAGATTCCAATGAAAATGTACAAGATGAAAATCAATAATTAAATGATACATTGTTATTGGTAACCATGTGATTAAAAAACCAACAATAATTAATACAAGCATTGTAATACGTTTACGTTTTGCTTCAACAACACGACGATTCAATTCATCACAATAATGTTTAGCTAATTTTCCTTGATGTGCTATTATACGACCAATACGACAATATAATATTGTTGTCATACCTAATGGTAATAAGAATTGTGTAAATGTTGCTAATAATGATAATATTAATGGCATCTGTTCTTTTATTGAATGTGGATATTCAGCACGACAACGACGTATCATTTGTCCATTGGATAATTCAGTCCATACAACAACATTGAATATTGTATGTGGTAATGCTAATAATATTGATATAATCCATATAAATAATATACATATTTTTATACGTATTCTACTCATCGAATGTGTTATATGATTAAAACCAACACGTGATGATATAACAATATTTGGTCCAGTAGTACCCAATATTGAACGATAGCGATGCAAACAAATTGCTGCCATTGTTAATGCAGAAACATAAACACTTGTTACCTGTAATGTTGGCATTATCATACAAAATGAATCTGGAAATGGCCAATCCAATAATAAAAATCTAGCACAATTAAATGGTATATTCAATACAGTAGTTAATATATCGGATATTGCTAAACTAAATATTAAAATATTTGTTGTTGTACGTAATTTTGGTGTAGAATATATTACATGACAAACAAGATAATTTCCACATAATGAAAAAATTATTATTAAACTATAGCAAATAATAACGATAATATTTCTTATACTATGATCATTATCAATATAATTTGTTGATTGTTGATCATTAATTATTGATGATTGTGATTCATAATCATTATCATAATATGATGAAATCATTGGATCCGTTGTTGTTGTTGTTAATGTTAATGATAATTTTTGTATTTTATGACCATATGGTTTTGTTGTTTTTATCTGTTGATCATCATCATTATTATTATTATCATCATCATCATCATCATCATCATCGTCATAAATATCAAATGATTCCATAGGTGATGATTGATGATCAAAATCTGGTAATTCATCGGCAATATTTGAACGTAAATTATGAATTAAATTCCAATTAATATCACTTTGATTATGATTAACATTTTCGTTTGATATTTTTTCTTGATGATCATCATCATTTACATTTGCTTTCATATAGATTGTTTCAATTAATTTAAGAAAATCGGATGAAAATTGTATGGTTGAATCATCATTTGTATTATTATTATTACTTTGATTATTTGATAATTGTAAATGTTGTAAATGTTGTTGTTGTTGTTGTAATGTTTTTGGATGTAAAACAATCATTTCAGTTGAATGTCCAAAATAATCATCATCATTATCGATACTTTTATCATTATTAACATCTTCAACATCAACAGTATTATTATAAAATTGATTATCAATTGTTGAATTATTTGTTAATAATAATGATGATGTAACTGATTCAAATAATAATTCAGCTTTTGTTGAATTTTTTGTTGCTGTTGTTGTTGTTGTTGTTGTTACCAATATGATTGGTATGGATGTTGTTGAATTAGCAATAATTATATGATATACAATTGGTAATCTTTCCGTTGTATCATTATTATTTATATTTTCATTTAAATTTAATGAATTAAATAAGGATGTTTCAGAAGATGATGATTTATCATTATTTTTAGAAGCTAATATCACATTTGGATGTGAAAGTAATTGTTGAAATAAACGTTTATATGATTCATCATCATCATCATCATCATCATCAATAAATGATGATGATGATGATTTATCACTGAAATTATTATCTGAAATTGTTTCAAAATCAAAATTATTATTTTTATTTTGTTCTGAAATATGATTGTTATCAAATAGAACAATTTTATCATCATTATTATTATTATTAACATTATTTGTTTTGATTGTCATCCAATTATTGATTGGTTTTGATGTTGTTGATTGATTTTTTGTTTCTGGCCATAATAAGGATGATGATGATGAAGATGATGATGATAAACCAATCGTAAGACAAATAAATATTGAACAAGCCGACATTATAATCATGATCATCATCAATAAAATACGACGATGATGATGTTTGATTGTCATCATTATCATCATCATTTTTGGTTTGTTTTTTTTTTGCTAATAATTATTTTATGAATTTTGTTTCATTCGATTGTCAATCTGTTTATTTATTAGTTTTTGTTTAAAACCAAAATATCCATATTTGTAATCATAATCTTGGGAAAATTAGTGGCGGAACAAAATAGAAAAAAAACAAAAAAGTTAATTAAAAGATTAGAATTGAATATGAAAAACAAACATTAATTTTTTGAAATTATTCTGTTTTTTCCAGGTAAATACATTAACGAATTAAATTATCAAATCAAAACATGACAAAAAATTGAACATCCATTGTTTTCTAATGATAATTTCATTATGATGACATTCTTCCGGAGCATTTTTTTAAAAATTATTATCAATGTTTTTTTTCAAATTAATCATTTTCATCATAATTATATCATTATCATTATAGTTTTAAATAATTAATATTTAATTAATAATTAATACGTTTTTACTACTATTTTTGCCTATTCTTTTTGTTCATTTTGTCAATATGAATTCAGTTGTTGTTGTTGTTGAAAAAATTATATTTATAGAAAATTTTTAAAATTTTCATTTTTTTCCCTCAAATATGTTCATTATTTCATTGGAAAAGTTGATGGTTTTAATGGAAAAACAAAAATTTTTTTTGGTTTATGATTTTGTTAGTTGAAAAATATTTAGGAAACGTCAACGGCTAGAACATTCTTTGATGTGTTCGTTATTATGATGTATATCTGTATTATGTCAAGCAAATGTTTTTTTTCGTATTTAGACATCTTTCAATGTCTTGTTGTTGTTTTTTTATTCATTTTGACGTTTGTCTAAATTTTCAATTGAGTAAAGTGTATAAGTAGAAATTCTGATATAAAATGATTGAGTCTGAAATTATACTGAAATTCTGACGAAAATGACTGAAATTCCGAAATATACAATAAACAAATCGATTTTATTCTTTTCAAAATGTTTTCCATGTAATGAATTTTTTTTTTAAAAAACAATAACAAACAAACCGCAATGATATTGAAGAAAAAAAAACCCGAATTGATCATTCGAACACTTGATTTTTTTTCAGATAATCGAAAAATCAAAAATCAAGTACTTGAATTGTTTTATTATTATTTTGAAATGAATCAAAAATCAAATCATTATGAATATTTCTTTGGAAAAGGAAACGAGAAAACCGAAAATCCATCCATAAGTTTGTTTAACTTATTTGTCATTTGGAATAGCGGTGGATATATTTTTTGTTTCCGATTCATCACATCTAATCAATGTCAATGAACTAATAATGTTATTGTTGTTATTGTTGTTTAGTTCTATATTTTTATTGACAGAAAATTTATCGCTTCAGGATCAATGTGTGATGGATGAAAACACGGAATGGAAAAAAAACGTAATGAAATGAATATCCGAAAATAAATCATTAGATCAATGACATGAATATGAAGTAATAAATGACGACAATGGTGGTGGTGTTGGCGGCAATAATCATTTATCAATTCGAGTTATTGATTCTTTTAATTCTTTCCTCGTATCAATGAAAATTTCTTTTTTCTCAATTAATTATTATGACTTTTAAATAAATTATGATACTATTACGCACGAACAAACGCAACATACTTGGAAACACACAGCAAACGATAATTATTTTAAACACGTCAATTAAAGATTATCATGAAAATTGCGTGTCGATTTCTCTATTCTTTTTGTTCCGTTTGATTAACGTTAAATTTTGGAAATTAAACAAAACAAAACAAATGATAGATCTGACAATATTTGTTTATCATTTTTTTTTGTTGTTGCTGTTGTTGTGTCGGATACAATTTCATCATTAATTTATTTCGGTTGTTTGTTTCTCATGTTTTTTTTTTCTTTGGAAAAACAAATATTACACAAGAATAGCAGCGAATAATTTTTATCTATATTATTTTTTTCCAGTTTTTTCCCTTGATGATCTATATATAAAACACACACCCCCACCATTACCACCACCAAAAATAATAGAGAAAAATTCTTATAAAATTAACAAACACCCGAAAATTTCAATTTCAATTTAGCAATCAATCAACTCATTTTCAAACCACCTACACTATTTACAAGTAATGAAAATGAATTTGAGAACCTTTTTATTTCGTAGAAAACGAAAAAGTTTCCAAAAGAAAGATAGAAAGAAATTTACCGGAAATTCTACCTGTATAGAATTTTAGTGTGAAAAAGGCTAGAAAGAATTTTAATAAGAAGAAAATAAAGATGATCCTGGATCGTTTTTGTTTTTGAAGAAAACTTTCTGCATCTTGTGTATCAAGAAAGAATCGCACTAAATTTCTATGATTAATGAATGATTAATTCAATGAAATGTTTAATTTATTCATCCAAAAGAAAGAAAGAAAGAAGAAGCTTTATTCAGCATCAAGATGTTACCAATTTCTAAACGAATATTTGATAATTTCGAATGGAAAATTCATCAGACAAAACAAAAAATTCTGGGAAAACTTTTTAATTTTTTCTGCCACTTGTAAACTCAATTGAATAACAGAAACAAAACAAAAAATTGATTTTAATTGAATTAAAAAAATTGATTAATTTTTTTTCGAAAAGGGAAAAACTTTAATGAAAATCGATAAATTTTTCAACAAAAAAGGAATGACATTTTTTACATTCTATATAACGATTGTCAATTGTCAATGACATCATCATTCAACACCAAATGATTATCCAAATGTTGTTGTTGTTATTCAATTCGATTCAAAAAAGAATAAGTGCAAAAAAATAGTGAACGAAAGAAAAAAAAATATGTCATAAACACATTAAAAAATAAAATAACATAACTTTGATGTAGTAAAAGAATTTTTTGTTTTTGCAAAAGTTTGTATTTTCAGGTAAATAAACATAGACAATAAACGAATCTAAATAACATAACGAAAACAAACGAAAAGAAAAAAACAATTCGTAACAACAAACTTGGACAAAGTTTTTATATTTGATATTTTCATAAACTAAAGGTAGTATTTTTTGGAAAAACAAAACAAAATTTTGTTTTTCTGTTTTTTTAAATACTTTGTTTGATCACTGAACCGATTATTTATGTTATGTTTTTTAACAATGAAGAATCCTAATTCTTGAAATTCAGATATGTTTATGTTCTTGTTATGTAATCTTGTTTGTTTTTTGTTTCAGAGTTTAGATCGAAATCTAAAAATGATTGACATGCAAAAAACCTTGATTACCTTTAGTATTTCTGGACAAAATGGTTTGTTGTTGTTGTTTTTCTTTGAAATCAAACCAATAGAATTTATTGCTTGAGAAAATAATCATTATCGATTTTTATTTCATTTTCTGATCGATTATTGATCGCACATTGAAAACTTAATTGTTTTGAAACGAAAAAATCCAAAATCAAATTCATATTTTTATGTTTGGAAAAAACTTTTTTTATTTTCAATCAATATCTATCGATTGATTTTGAAGAATTCATGAAAAAAATGATGATGATGATAACCGAACCAAAATACAAAAGACGAAAGTCAAAAATCAAGATGCCCCGAGAAAAAAAAACAGAAAACACTTGAAAAATGGTCTAAATTCAATGAAAAAAGAATGAAAAATTCATAAAGTTGAACATATAATGTTTGTTGAATTTGAGAAATGAAAAAAAAACAAAATTTGAAAACAAGAATCTCTCTTTCGGATAGTAGTAATGTTTCTGGTACAATTGTTGCATCAATATTGAATTAATATAACTAGTTGGCAAGTTGCTTTTGTACAGAATTTGTCTGTCTATCTTTCTTTTTTTTCTATCTTCTGTTGGTGCATGTCTTGTGTTTGTCATATGCAATTTAGATCAAATACAGAAGAATATTTGAAGCTGTCTGTAACAGAATATCTGTCTGTATATTTTTTCCACCATATATAAATTCTATTATAACATATGACATTTTTTTCTCTCTCTCGCTTTCAATTTCTCTGGTGTTATATTACACATAGCAGCATCAATGAATGAATGAATGATTCGGCAAAATCACCATCATTCATTAGTTGTTATTTTTCCGAAACAAAAAACAAAAAAAAATTCTCACGATTGCGTATTCAAAGACAAATTCTTGAATTTTTGAAAAGATTTTTTACACGCAAACAACTTTGATTGGTTACTTGTTGTTGTCATGATATCTTACCTTTTTATTAAAATTTTTTTTTCATTCAATTTTTTCCATTGAGAAAATGGCAATTAACTATGTGACTATAGTAAACATATGTGAATGTGTGGGCAGGTAAATGAATGCATTTGATATTATTTGGCTATGGGAGATGTAAATTTATAAAAACATATCAAAAAAAAGAAAAACATCACAAAACAGATAATAATGATGATCCTTCAATTACGAAATAACAGATATTTTTCTCCCTCTCTCTCTCTCTCTCTCTCTCTCTCTCTCTCTCTCTTCTTTCACTTTTTTTTCTCTTTCTTTTTTTATTTAATTAATTAATTAATT